CCACCAGCCATAGCCAAGCTGGCGGGCTGCAGAGCTGTGTAGAGAGATCAGACGGACTAGGTCGTCACACATATCGCTGGGTATTGCGATGAGGTGGTTTGAGGTAAGCGATGGATGATTTATCTGAAGGATCATCTCAAGCCGACAGAAAGCTCGCTCCAACGTGCGCCCAGTTGGCGCTTTCGTCGGCTGATGGCACCTGGCTGGCCAAGACCGGGAACGGAGCTGACGCCAGACCGAGGTTGCGTGCCATAGAACGGAGGCTCAGAGGGGGCAAAGAAGCAAGCTCGGAGAGGTCACTCTCGCCAGACGTTTGTTCAGGCCAGCAACACGACGAAGGGGGATCGGCAGGAGCGATGAAGTCTATTTGGGAGCCCCCCACTGTGAAGCCTGTGCAGCCTGTGTAGACGATGCAGACGATGCAGGCGGTGCAGGTAGGTGCAAGGGTTTCGCCGATGAAACGAGGCCAGTCCCAAACGAGCATCTGGCTACTGCATCGATTTGGAGGTGAAGGGATTCGTTGGCGCTTGTCCATTTTCAGGAACTGACTCTTTGGTGCGGGTTCTCGTGTTGAGGATCCCATGATCGTCGAGAATTCAATTCTTTGGGACCGAATACTCTCTCCAAGGAGCCTGACACCAGATTGAGACCTTGCGTGCCACTGAAACTAGGCCCTCTCCAGGCCCCTTCAGGCCCCTTCAGGCCCCAACCGAGGGAGACGCTGACAGGCAGCTAAAAGCTTCGCCATGAGAAGGGGGGTGTCGTCACTGTCCCCAACGCTAAACCGCGTCAAGCGTCAACTCCTTAACCGTACAGTGAGCGGCCCCCACCTCGACTTGTGTCGATCGTTCTGCCCCTATCAAACGGCGGCCCAGCGCCCCCTGCTCTTGTGCACCGTCTAAAGTACCTAAGGTACCTAGGTACCCAAGGCAGCGTACGAACGAACGTTCACCACCGAAAACCCAAGCACCAGTGATCCCTGAATTCCATCTGGCCTGGTCGTCCGTCTCGTATTTTTCCTACTGTCTGGCGCATTCGTCAAGCTGTTGCTGTCCACTCCCTTGGTCCCATCATCTCGTCATAAACATCATCACTCTTTTCTCGCGACCTCGCTTTTTCTCGCGACCTCACACGACCTTTCTTCGTCCTGTGCATTCCCACTTGGCCCTCCTTCTGTTTCTTCTTCCTCCTTCTGGTTCTTCTTCTTGCTTCTGGTTCTTCTTCTTCTTCGCCTACCACCTGCCTGTCGCCGGCACTTCGCTCCCCTACTGTCGCCCATTCGGACACGACGACGCGGTCTCTTCTGCTACGTCCTGTGTGCATCGCATCATCGGGCTCAGTTCAAAGGTTCGTCTCGGATCTCCCCCGCCGCTACTCGGCAGCCTCCCCGACTGCAACGCGTCCTCGTCGTCAGCACTGCCTTTTCGGGTCAGGGCTGGGCTTTCCTCGCTGCGAGACATTCTCGAGGCCTTCCATCTGGACCAGCACGGCGAGACATTTGGTCCCAACCCGCCATCGCGTTGCTTCTTCCGGGTCGCGCCCTCAAACAAGACCTCCCAATGACCCTCTCCTGGCCCTGTCCTTCTTTTGCTCTCGTCATCGCCTGTCCACCATTTGCTGCCCGCCCACTTGTCTTAAAAAACGGCATGATCAGCCCCACGGTGCCCATCGACAGCGCGGAACCGGACTTCTGAGCTGACCAGAACCTCCCAGGACCACTTCTGCCATCCAACCGACCAATCTTTCTACTCGCCATTTGCCAAACGGGCGATCCTAATCTACGACAACCTCCATCCGACGTTCGAACCTCATCACGACCACGGCCCAAGTCCCTCTGCCTCCTAGCCTCGAGTGCTACTACACAAGACGCACACCATACACATACCTGCCGCCCTTGACAGATCAACTTCAGCAGCATGCTGACACCGAGGAGAGCCCTGGGCCGCGGCGGCCTTTGTTCTCATCGTCTTCTATCTCATCACATCAACCCACAACACGCCGATAGCCAACTCGCCAGCGCGCCGAAACGCAAAAAGGCCAACGATGCCAAGCCAGCGGCGACGCC